GATACATTTCTATTGTGATATATTTTTATTATGATGTAATACAGTACATTTCTCTTGTGATTCTCTTCCACTTATTATATTATTGGCCGATCGATATCACAATGGAAAAATAGCCTGATTGTGATTAACTAACTTACGATAATTTTTTTTACATTACTTTGCGTTTTATAATTGAAAAATTTTTTAGATTTTACTATAAACCTCAAGGTCAAGAACTGCATCAGCAGCAAGTTTGCCGGCTCGTTTGGCTTTTCTTATACATAAAAAGAATCATTATTCAACAATAAAACTTAATACTTACCAACATGCTGCGTCTGACAAGATATCAAAAACAATTAAGAAGAGCCTACAAAATAAATAATATAAAAGTTAATAATAATAATGTATCTGCCTATGATGATTCTGTCCATGGTGATTCTGAAGGATATGATGATAATCTGAAAGATTACTTTGAAGTTGACAATGGTTTTTCCCATTATAACTCTATTGATAATGAACCAGTAAAAAATGATAATGCTGCAAGCATTATAGAAAAACTTTGTAAAGCAACAAGAAAGTATTACCAGGAACATGCTTCTCGAGAAGTACATAAGTTACGTTATATAGGAAATTCAAGTCATACTAAAAGAAGAAAGAATCAACAGCAGCGTGAAGCAGCAAAAGGGACTCTTACTTTACATACCTTTTGGAATACCAAGAAATCTGAAGAAATTGATGAGGAGCCGACTGAAGAGACTAATGTAAAAGAATCAGATGATGAAATTGAAGATTGTGATTGGCATAATAAAATTCAGGTTGCTCTCAAAAATCTAATATTAGATCTCAAAAAAGAAAAGGTTAATAGTGAGATTTGGATACGTCTAAATAGTATTCAACTTTATCTTCAACTTATAAAATCTAATTATTTAAAAATGAACACAAGTGAGATTGTTGCTAATGCAGCAGGAAAAGGGGTATATCATACCAGATGCATTCATTCTTGGGCAAATGATTATATAATGACCCATAAAATTCCTTACTCTCGTCGAGGATATCATGCAAAGTATAGAGCTTTCTTTGGAATAAGGATATTATTCTTCAAATAAAAGCTTATATTTAGAAACATAAGTGGGATGTTATTTCATAAACACTAATGGCACAGATGAATGAAATTATTTTGCCAGGACTTGGATTTGCATCATCTCCAAATATTCATTTTAACACTGCAAGAAACTATTTGAAAGAACTTGGATATACATATGTTAAAGTGAAAAAGGGAACATACTTAGATGGATATGAAAGGGAAGATGTGGTAGCTTATCGTAAAATTTTCTTAGAACAAATGGATAAACTTGAGAATAGGATGCCAATTTTCTCTGGAGACAATTTGGAGGAAGTAACATGGCTAGGTGATAATGTACAACCACTTATTCTTGTCACACATGATAAATGTATTTTTTCAGCTTATGATAGAAGTCGAAGCCTTTAGATTCCAAATGAAGAACAAACTTTAAGAAAAAAAGGTAATAGACGCTCCATTCATGTTAAAACCAGCAGAAACTAACAGACCTATCGAATATGCCATATCTGCCAAATAGGACACATTTATTATTTATTATATTTCTATTATTTATATCATTTATTATATATTTAACATAATTAGCATATCTGTTAGCTCTGTT